CATTGAAAGGACATGAAATGCAGCGCAACTTGTATTTTGCAGTACCACTAAGCCTCTTCGAATTTGATGGGCGAAGGATGCCTTGCCAATGCACACTTCTTCAAGTTGTGTTTATGAATTCACATGCACATTGGGCGAACACAAAGACAGATGGCAGATAGGTCTATTAAGCACCCGTCCAGATGGCTCCTAAAGCAAGAAAATAAAATCTCGCACTCCTCCACTACAAAATACTTGTCTGATACTGGTCACTCCGTCGATCCCAAATCTTTCTTCCAAATACCTTGTACGGGCACGAACAACTCTGACACTGCGTTTCCTGGAGGCGGCCTATATGCGACGGATGAAACCCGATCTACGTAAACAGTAAGAAGACGTGGTTAGACTAACCTTGCCATGTTAGCCTTTCGTTCCATGATTTTCACTTTCCTTTTCTTTTTGTTTGTTAACGCCCTTGTCCACTATTCCCCCCGTACCTTGGTTAAGTTACCAATTTCACCGATTGTCCAGCCTTATCCAGAACCATGACCTTATTGTTTTTCATTGATTTTCTGAACGAATTCCAATCTGTTGTATAATTCCTGCTCGTTATCTGTTAAAAAAACGACAGGACGCAGCTGACGAGCCGTCTCGAAATTTTTTGGTACCATTAAGTCCTGCCCTGCTTGCGAGCTTCAGCACAAAAACTATCTGTAGACGTAATATAAATACAAATTGTACAGATCGCTTTCAGTCCCATCTGCAGCAATATACGCAAGCTACACCAGCAGTCCCTGAAAGAATTAGATACCGAACAACCATATGCGTCGACTTACCACGATATCTCCTAGGAGTGGGACATTAACTGTGACAAGTCCCGATATGCTTCGGTGTAGTCGTCTCCACAATTATTTCAATGAGATATGCAGACTAGGCCATGGAATTGATGATGTCCATTCGGCCTGCCCTCCAGCACGGCCACCATCGCAACTTCCCAGCTTGTTCATTTTTAATTATAAGGAGGCTGACTTAATGCAATCCCGCCTTGCTTTGTCCTGAAATTAGTTTTTAATTTCAAGTCTTCCAAACAATTGAAATCTCAGTCGTCCTCGTAACGCAGAAAGCATATCATTTTCGAACATTCCGTGAGTGGATAACGTACAATCTGACTTTTGGAAATATCTTCTCGGGCGTGTGAATATCAGGATTCAGCATATACAACGGAGATCATCAGCGTCTTGGAAAACCCTATTTACTAATATACAAATGAAAAGAATGTACATTTTCGCATAACAGATATGTCAGTCATTCATGTCCAATAAGTTTACGTCCACAAAGTACAAATTTGACAAGTCTCGTTTTGAAGATAGACGATAGACGGTAGTAGACGAATTCGACTCACACTTCGATTTTGTCATACTTTGTCTTCAATTTATATGGGCGGCATCGAAGCTTTGTTCTTCGTGTCAGTTCAAAAAGTCTTCAAACTTAAGAACAGAGACTGGCCTTCTAATGATCTTGAAGGCCATGATCACATCCCGTCTGTGTTGTCTATAAGAGGAAGGAAATGTTTTGAGCTTTTTCGGCCATCTCTCTTATAGTAAGCGTCGTAATCTGACAGCTAACCTTGTTGCTCTTCGTTGTATGCCCTTCAAAAGGGCGCGATCTTTTTTCGTCCCGGACGTCACGCCTAAACGCACTATTCGAAAACCGGCCGAAAAAACGTTCCAAAAACTCAATCGAAAAGCTCTTCGTCGAACTTGAGGAAGGATCGCCTGATCGCTTCTACGGTACCCACTGCCTTCTTCCATATCTCGGCGCAGTAAGAAGAGGGTCTGACAGTGGACGCCATCTACACACAGACGTGAGACTCGAGGCAGTTCTAACAATTATCGACCCGTGTAATGCTTTACCTTACTAACAACACAGGTATTAGCAAAAAGCCCAGACACGCCTGTTTCGCCGATCTTAAGCCGCCCGTCAGTATAACCTGTATTTACGTAACATAATGAAAACTATACTTAAAAAGGTAACAATGAACTTCCTGGGGGATAATCACTTACTCTCAGGACTTTAGCACGGCCTCAAAAGGAATCGCTCTTGCCTCCCCGCTTTACTGCTTCCAATTGGGCGGTGGACTCGCCTACCGGACGAGAATGCTAAACTTGACGCCATCTACACTGACTTCAAGAAGGTTCTTAAAAGCGCCCCACACAAATGCCTTATCTATTAATCATCTGTATTTGTAATAGGAGGAAATATGTTCATACTGATAACAGACTTTCTTACAGAGAGATCGGAAATTGTATGCATTAATGCCTCGAAGTCAACATCCATTCAGTTTTAAACGGTGTGCCCCAGTACGGCTGTCCCACCTTCTGTCCTGAATCATCGACTGTTTCAGCAGCCTGGGTTGCGGCGTCGTCATTTTTGTTAACAGTTCTGAACTGTGAAGGGCAATCAGATCTGACGCAGACGGTACGCACTTCAAGATAGTCTCAACTGACGCAGCAGCTGTCTGCACGTTGGCTCTTGAATTTTTCCATTGATAAGTGCGTGGACTCAATACTCCATGTCAGAAGGACCACCAAGGGGAATGCTTCCTTCTAATACCTCCTTTATGGGCAGTTCCTTGCAAATGTTAAGGAACAGAAGGACCTCGGCGTCCTAATAACCCCATGGTTCAACCATCGTCACAATGTCTAAATGCAGCTAAACCCGCGGTGCAGGCGTTATTTGCACTGAGACGGAGATTTGTGCAAATCGATAAAGAGCTGTTCAAGAAACCTACGGCGCATTTGTTCGTTTCCAATTAGAGTATGCCGTCCAGCCCTAATATTCACGGTGCAAGAGGGACTATCAACATCTGGAATGAGCACAGGCGAGGGCTGCGAAAATGGCCAAGAATGTTGTTTATCTGCCTTAGGAAACTAGACTTCCTTAACTTGTCTCTTCTCAATCACAGACAACTACGAGGAGACCTTATTCAAGGCTACCTTTTGTCAGAAGTCGTGAATGTGCCATACACTTTGATGACTTCTTCAGATTTCTTGGCACTGCCCGCCTGTGTGGTCATCCTTCAAAGTTCTGAGGAAGTTGGTCCACTCGCACGCCCTAAGGAACGCCTCCTCGCAGAGGTTCCTCTGAGCGCAAGACGCTCTACCTTACGCGACGGTTCTTCTAGAAATCGTTCAAACATTTAAATACAAACAGGGCTCTCAATTGTTGAGAAACTATACTTCACATAATCACGACTCTGTCAGTGACAGCGTAGGAGGAGTTAAGGGAATTGAGGGTGCTGAAATTGACGGCTTGGAAAAACCGTGCATTACCATAAGCCTTTCGGGGCACCGACCCAATGGCTTATTGACGCAAATGACCTCCCCATGGAAAGCAAAGGTCATAAACAGGCATGAGCACCTTCTCCATTCCTTTGTCTATATATTGGATCTGCCTATTTACCTAATATCGTCTAAAGTATACTGGTTCTTCTACTGTAAGTAGCGGACCACCCTCTGGTTTCCAATTATCCGATTATCAGCGCGGACGGTCGAAAGCAGCGCATTGTAGCTGGAACGTCCAAAATGTTTCATGGTCAATTCGCAATCGTAATTATGGAGACTTGCCTGCCGAAGAGCCCAAAATATTCAAATTTAACATCGTGAAAGTTGAGGCGGGATTTACGAAGAAAATCAAGCAAATTGCATTATAGGTTAACTGCCTTACAAGTTCTAAGTGAACGTAATTCTCATTGCTCATTGCCTTTACCGTTGCAGCATTGCTTGCCTCAACAAACAGCGTTCGTGCATCCGAGAGCGGGCCAGATGAAAGCCATCTTTTAATTTTTAGAAGACTCATCAGATGCATTAAGCATATTTGCGACTGAATTGCAAAGATATGCAGAACACCCCTTCGTTCTGCCCCTCATCTGTTAACAAGATTCTTGTAGGCCCCTCGAATCTCACAGCTGGAAAACTTGTCTCTTCATCAGATGAGAGTTTTTCACATGCCGGCTAACGAACTGTAGAAGATAACATAACCCCATGAAGATAAGGAGTAGTCGGACGATTACCTTTTCGCAATAATGTTGGAAATTTGGCGCGAAATGTCAGTTATATCCTGATCAACACGTCTCCTGAATGTTCTCGTTAAAAGCGTCTTCGGCATACCAAATAATACGGCATAAAATACCTAATGAAAGTAGTAAAGGCGAGAGTTACAAAGTTAATGCAACAATTGCACAGGCAGCGGCCTACATGAGTAGGAGGGCACACGCGAGCGTTTGTACGAAAGCAGGTGCATCATCTGATCGATTTTCCTGTAATCATGCGCGCAATCATTTCCTCGGGACTCTATTAACCAGTGAAAGCTCCGTTGAAAGCTCCTTCTTTCACCCGACCATCGAAATCACGTTAGTTTGAGTCCTGCTAGTAGTGCCTGAATGACGGTTTGCGAAATGCAGGATTTCTGATGCTTATCTGTAGTTGCTCCTGCCTGAAATCACTCGACCAAAAAATAAACTGAACTGAGACTAGGACATTGAACATTTTCACCCTGAATGATAGTTTTGACGATGGCTCAAACTACTGGGGACGGTCGATAAAAAAGATGATGGACAAGAGGTCCAGGTTTCAAGACGAATTGTCTAATGTAATCGTTAAAAAACAATGTTTAACTATGCCGGTTCTTCATATTTCCTTGAGGCGTTCATTTGCTGTAAACACAGAAACCGAAAGACAAAACGGATAAATAAAATAATAGTAGTAGGCAGAAAGAAAAGGCGTGTTTCTATCATAAAGCACCAGGTATAGACTGCGTGAAATACAGTGGTATCATTTTTATGTTATAAATTACAATATATGCTATAAATTCTCACTGCTTTACGTTCAATTGCTTTCACTGCTTTACTTTCAAAATATTCGTTGTCGACACAGGCTACTGCCTTACAGGTATAAAACCCGTAGTTTTTGAATATTTATTCAATTTGTTTTGTAGCTACACCTTTTACGGAATTATTGTGTATGCCGCTCTCAGACACTAAGTTGCGGTGCTGCTTCCGCCCTTTTAAGGTACGCCTGGCGATCGCGCCTCTTTTGACCTCCGTGCTCTGCCTCCGCTGGTCAGAGTTGTGTTACTCCCTAATTTAAGATAAGGTATGGAAGTCTCTCTAGTCTTCCACTTACGGCTAATAATTTTTAATGCCAAATACATACACCACTGTCCGCGCAGATCCGCACCGAAATTCAACAGTCCCTTTCCTCAGCTTTTTTGCACCGAGTTTGTTTCATATCTTCGTGGTGTTTTGTGCCTGCCCTTGGTTCTTCATAAATAGGTCCGGTAGAACTAAAGCCCGCTCAAATACGATGGTAAGCGAAGATTTAGTCGTTAAAACGATTTTAAAACAATAAAATTTACCAGACCAAGCTTAGCCTGGGCTAACTACGTGCTTATCGGCACTTGTCAATACAGCCACAACTACTGTTTGGGCTTACGATTAAAATCGACAGTGTATAGTTTACGCTACATAATAATCACTACGCTTGGGGTTTTCCGATTTCTGCATTATTTTTTACACAGGAACAGCCTACAGGTTCTTAGTACTCCTGATGACTCTCACTATAGTCACTACAGTAACACTCGTTTCGATGTGCAGTGTTTATCAATCCCCGGCTGTTCTCTCAGGTCTTTGTTTTGTGTTTCTGCGTTTCTTTTCTCTTCCAGCTGTCGAAATAGCCTTCTGTACCGCCGGAAGCTGTCACCGGTTTCATCACTTCCAAGTTCCTAAATTATTACGTCTTATCGCATCGGGATATGCAGCGTACATGGCTGCTTTCAGTAGTTTGACATTCTTTCGTTGAATATTGACTAATTTTGGACGTGCATTATTACGGGTGTCCCTCTACCATGCTCACTCCCTTTTCGGTTGGCTATAGCTGTAGCTGCGGTCTAGGCAGTTTAGTGGTAGGGATTGGCGTAGGAGTTAGTTTCTGGACTGGAGGAATACGCGAGGAAGGCATATGAGACGGTGATCCTTCACAGGTTTCATTTTGCTGCGCTTTGGAGCCATCTTAAACGCTTCATTGTGTTATGCCACTGTCCTCCTGAAACCCTGCTTGCGTTTAGCCTTGTGGTAGTTTCACGCCATGAGACCATTATCTTCTCGTAAATTCAGTTGGCTAAATGATCAAATTTCTCAAGCCTCAAATGGCCTACAGGGGGGGGGGGACATAGAGCTGCCATAAGGGTTAATGGCGATTCTGCAAGTAGTTTATCGATGTTATGGTGACCAGTGTCCCAGTGCTTATTTCCTTTCTCGTCCAATCTTTGGGGTGCGGAAACGGTTCAGATAGATGGTTACCACCAACTTTTTGGTCATTATTCATACTAGCGTCCCATGTAAACGCGACACCACTATTTGTCACCGATTCGCAGAAAACGTTAGGTCGCCAGTTCTTCAGACTTGTGGGACGCCCTCAATTGGTAACAGACGAGTTATTTTGGACGACCCAGAAATTGCAGTTGGTCTCCTCTTTCTGATTTCTTCCATTATTTTATTGCTAGACAATTGTTATTCTCTCAGATGTACTAAATCTCCACTATAATTTTCACCGCAGCGCGCAGTTGCCGACGTCCGTATAGGATTTATCTCGCGGTGTTATTTTCAGTCTGTTTTGAACGAGTTTCCCACTTGGGCTGACTACAAAGGGGTGTTGCCGCGCGCGTCAGATGATAATATGCCTCATCAGTTGCTGTATCCACTTTTCGGACATATTTGCGTCGCTTCTCCCTGAACCATATGCGACCGGGGAGACGGCGGAATGAGATTGACCGTACTCCGTCTTTACTCAGCGTTGACCAGTTAAGGCGCGTATGCAGTGTAAGGATACCACAATTCTGGCGGTAGATCTCAATGACTGGCAGTGCAACCTACTACCAAATTTATACGTTATCATCTCAGAACGAAGATATTCCATATAGTCTTACGTATAAAAAGCAAACATTAGAATTTTTGACATTCCACAGCCGTAGAAGGACAGCAAATGTGGATGAAGAATTATCCAACAGGCCTCCATGTCAGCGTTTTCAGTGACGGATTTCCGACCGGCTTTTTAGGCCCTCTGGACCACATCACCAGTTCCCATTTTCCTTAGAGTAGTTTGACCCTCATAGATATACCTGATTATCTATCCTGCAAACATGACACTTTACATCTTATCATGTCATTTTTGGTCCATATTAGAGACAGATTCTGCACGTGGTTACTATCGGAGGGCCAGAAACGACCAGAGACGTTGAAGTCAAATGTATCGAAAGGCGTTCAGTCGAGTCACCAGGGTGCTGCTCGGTGGTACAGTCGGTGCGGGTCTTCTGGCCGTGGCTGCATCAGGTGAACCGCCACGCCTTCGTGCCGAAAGTTTTATTCCCAGTCTCCTCCGGGTACTGGCTTACAGCGCTCCGGCAACAGATGTCTCCAAGCACCGCGTTACGCCCTGGAACTTTAACTGGGATGGTCGTGACGTAGTCTCTTCCACCGACAGCACCTCCAGTGGTGATAGTTCGCACAGTCCACAGCGGCCCAAATGCAGTCGACACATCATTTTTGTGCGTCATGGACAGTACCATTATGCCGCGGATGACTCGGACTGTCATTTGACCAAACTAGGTCGCGAACAAACTGACTATACAGGTCAGCGGCTGAAACAGCTTGGTCTACCCTATTCCCGAATTATCTACTCCACTATGACAAGAGCGGTGGAGTCAACGGAGGAGATTATCAAGCATCTACCTAATGTACCTGCTGTGCCTTGTGACCTGTTGAGAGAAGGCGCCCCTTTCCCACCGCAACCTCCTGTGCCCAATTGGCCACAATCTGAAGACGATTTCACCAAGGATGGTCCGCGAATTGAGGCAGCTTTCAATTATTACATGCACAGGGCGGACCCTAACCAGGAAAAGGACAGCTACGAGGTCCTTGTCTGTCATGCTAATGTGATCCGCTACTTTGTCTGTCGCAGTCTTCAACTCCCACCAGAAGCCTGGATCCGAATGACTCTAGATCACGGAAGTCTTACCTGGATCACAATCCGTCCCAGTGGAACTGTTAGTCTCCGTTGGCTAGGAAACTCAGGTTACATGCCTCCGGACAAGCTGAGCGTACAGTGATGCGCCCCTAAAGTCGTTGACTTCCAGCTCCTCTGCTCAAATTCCTCCTTCCTTCGAGGTGGGGTACCCTTTCAACGTGTCCGTCCGCCGATACAGACAACCTCACTCGCAGTCGCGAGGGAAGATTCACAACATCCGGTGACCCTCACTCTTGACGGCTGTGTTCGCAAGTCTGTCAGAAGCGCCCTTAACAGTATTATAAAGTGACATCCCGGTTTTCCCAACTGAAGGTTGGACTGTAGTTATGTTCTTTCACTCCATCGCTCCGAGTTAACAGTTATTTTCTTCTAATAAATTGGTTGTTTTACCCCTAACAACTTTCGAGATCGAACATCTGGTCAATCGCGCATTCTGCCGTAACCGATCCGAAGTCTCATGTCGACTGATTGTCTGGATAGAGCCTTTAACGGGTTCATCGTAAGGATATTGCCTACCGTGTCGACAGGTTTCTTGTCCGAATGTCCTTTTGGCAGGGTTATTTGTTTGCTTGGTGCTGGGGGACCAACTCAGATCCTGTAGATAATTGAAACCAAGCTGGTGTTTGCAACGCTGTCATAGGACGTCCTGCACTTCCGCCTAGAAGCGAGCGCCTCAACCCGGCATTATCATGTATGTAATTGGCCTAGAAGCCTAAACTACTCCCGGCCGGCCTGACGGTAGTAGTTCTTCGTGAACGCTTGGTACAGTTGTGGTCCCGATCGTCCGCTAGTGGTGGCGGGTTCCGTGTCAGTCTTTTTATAGATGTCTCAACCTCCTGTTTGATCGTTCTATTCGACCTGACAAACTTGGTTTGCTTAGCCACTGGAGTTTTCTCGAGTTTACTGCTGTCTCTGTGCAGGGAGAGTATATTTCCGATCGAGGTGCTTTAATTGATGCTTGCCGTCCTTAGTTCCCGCCATATTTACTGGCAGTCGTGGGCGGAATCCACCGTCCGAGCCAAAAAGCTATGCATAATAGTTGTTAACGTATGGCAGATTTTCCCAGGAGGCCGCGTTTGGCTAGAAGGCATTGCCTGTAGACTGGTCTATAACGCCAAGGACAGGCGACAAACACGGGAAAAGTCCGAAGTAACCATAAGATGTAGACTTTTGGCGCAGTGGAGAGAGCCAGAGGGTTTTCCATGTAATCTATACAAAACGATTAAGATAATGCGAAACAGACTGTGCCTTCAAGGACATTTTCAGTTCTAATAAAGGCATCTGGCGGTGAAAGCCAGCTGATAGGCAAACCTAAACTCGGCGGAACTAGGTTGGAGGCCCCAGCGCCGTACCCGGCCCAGTTCGTAGGTGGCCCCACTACCGAGTCTTGGTTAGCATGAGTCTTTCAAATTACAGATGGCTTTAGAAAGTTCCTCCCAACGAAGTGGCACAGCATCGACTGGATGCCAATCGACGGATTAGGACTTAAGAGATTTGGGTGAGCAGCTTCTGGCAGCCTGATAAGTTTTTCTGAAGGTCGAGATGGTGTCGAGGATCCGCACGCTAGTGAGCAGACGCTTTTCCTACACCATCTAATACTGCCTCTGTTAAAATGGAAAACAAGCCAGTCGGGACTGTTTACATTTGGAAGTGGTCCTGCATTTGCTAGTGTTCGGAGAACTGGACTCGCTGCTGCGTCACGTCAGCATCGCGAAGATACGCGATGTAGGCCCAAATGGATCAACTCACAAGACTTCGCTCCACAGCGGACAAACGTCGCGTTGAATTGTAAGATTCATGGCGAGACAACAGAACTATGACACTTCAAAGTTGCAAGCTTACGACGTGAATCATATACGCTTTACTTTGTCTGGACGGTTATCAATCTAGCCACTCTAGACTACAATGGTTCCTACGTATTCTTAGTCTGGCGGTCGTGCAAATGTGGAGATATCGAAGAATGGGTATAAATCTCCGTAGGCAATAGTAACTAATTTCAATCTTTGTTCGAAAATGAGAACTCTGACGCACAATCCAGGAATACGGCGGTCAAAAATTCCGGCAGGCTGAACCTATAGATACTAGATGCCCTAGATTTCAGAGGTCTCTCGTTTGTAATCGCGAAATGTGACTCCCCCTGCTTGGCTCGGATAACTAGGCGTCAAGAGAGGGTGTTATATCCTCTAAAGTGTAGATGTTTCGCGTCAGCTCTGGCACCTTGGTTTCATGCGTAGTCCCTCTATATGCTTCGACGGTGATTAAACTACTGTAGGGTGCTTCTGTGGGGGCTGGAGAGAGACATCAGAGGCCCCGCTCGCTACCGTTGCCTAAAACGAATGATGGGACCGGGGAATGTATCGACGGACAACTTTGTTTCGACGAGACTTCACTCCAACCCACCTGGGCACGCGCTTTTCTACACCACCCAATGGAATATACACAAACAGCTCATGTGGCGTTTGACCCGCACCTGAATGGAAAGTAAAAATCGTCCCCCTCACGCACGGGCCGATACATAATGCAAAAATACAAAATACCGACCAGGATATGGAGTGGGTAGACCATTGTGCAAACCAATTTACGCGGTAGATTCGTCGTGTATTTCGGACATTTCTCTTCCGATACGTCGTTTACCCTTCAGTCGGCGTCCTCGCGTATTTGTTGTGCTACACCATCTAGCATTACTATGAGGAAACAGCCCGGTAAGCCATCGGTGCGTGGAAATTCCAGTTGACAAATACTGTTCGAATATGAGCATGGCGGCATTAGGAAATCGCGGACTGTAAAAGGTTTCGTCAGCTCTAAGTATCGTTACGCACACTGGGACGCTAAAATAAAATTGCGTACGATCAAGGCGTTCTGCCTACGTCCCATGCGCAGTCAAAGTATCTGGGGCACAAACAGCTACGATACCTTGTTGGTCGCCAGTGACCTCAGTGCTGCTGCTCTAGATACCACGTCTGCCTCAGTGAATGACATGCAGATACAGTAGATTCAAAACATGACTGGTCATGATCAATGGTGACCTCTACGTAGTTTTTGCATTCTCAGAACTCGATGTTTAACGTCTTCGTCGCACAGGGAAGTACTCTGCTGGGCAACACTAGCCTTAGGCCAGTTAAACCAGAGTGAAGTAGAGATTTCAGGTAGTTTTAAAACCCGGACCGGTTGTTGCATGCGACGGCCTGATGGAGATATTGTTTCCTATAACTTCTGGGTTTAAACGCTAGTGTCCCCACCGCACCCCCCCCCCCTCCGACACACCTTAAAGTTCAATGATTGTGCCAGATGGAGAAGGAGGCCAGTTTTGGGGGACAATATTCACAATGTCACAATACCACTATTGTCTTTTACATTTTTACGGATAACTGATTAGCCAGATCGGCGACCAGATACGCCCAAAGGTATTACAGCTGCATGGTACGTAACACATGCCAAAGCCTGTATACTTTGCAGCTAGCCGTGGAATTATTTACCAACTGCGGCCGCGCCGAGTAACTCGTAGTCAGGCTAACAGGTAGGTCCCGCCCTACGGCTTACTTCAATGTTTGATACATGAGTCGGCCTAGTTCGAGTATGGCATCCGTATGAAATACGTGTGTACCGGGAACAAGGACCGTGGCTTTCAGCTACAAGAAAACAAGCCATAACTCCCCGTGCTGCACCTTCGACGTTACAAGAGGGCCTCTGAACTAGGAAATGCCAACTCCTCTCCCTAACTACCTTAGGAAGAAGGCTGGACGCACAACCACAATTTCGGCCTTGCGAATTTCAAAATTTAAGAAGATAAAACAAAATATGAGGAAACGGGAAGTAGTCTTTAATTAGAAAGGAGCAAGTAGGTAACTGCCAAGTCTAAATTGCTATGCGCAAGGACAACCATATTCGGAAATGATTACTTGTTTGGAAGTTCTTTTATGGGGGCTGCCTGTGCATCAGCGAGTTTAGCAGTGTTTTTTTCAGTATCTCGGAATTTGGGGAATGACTCCCAAGGGCTGTTGAACTCAAATTTGCGGAATTCTTGGGCCAATTCAACAGGCTCGATTACAACTCGCTTCAGTTCTTCGTCGTACCGCATCTGTAGGAAAGAATAAACAATGCGCTTAATAGCCCAGTTGTTATTGAATTCCAGAGTTTCCTTGTATGGTTTTTACTTTACGCTCTTCATACAAACAGCAAACTCATTCGAAATGAAGGTTGTGTCCTACTAAGAGAATTGAATATATGTGCCAAAAGTGACGGACTCCTCTGCAATGAGTGCCACCACTTCCTCCCTCCCGGGCAGTTTCATATCCCCGAGGCCTGTGCAGTGTTGTGCGACCCTTCTTCACAGAAATGAACAACACTGCTGTGCGTTACTGAACTCCGTCGCGGCCATCAGCAATAAACGACCATTTGTTTTGTCCGCTTAGTTGAAGTGCCCGATCCCGTTAGTCGTGAGTCCCAATGGGCGGTAATGGTGCTCGGCTAGTATCAAACTGTTCTGTCGTACAGAATTTGATTATTAGGTCAGTTAGTTTATCCATCAGCGTTTCGAAGACCCATGTATTTTTGAGCTGCACACCTAAACAGGAAGCATTAATCAGTAGTAGTGGCTCTCGGTTTGAAAAAGGCTGTCTGAGGACGAATTTGCTACCGAACTAACAAAGTTAAAATAATTTCGCCGTCCGAATAGATGCTGCACATGGGGATTTTAGAAGCCCTAAAGAGCATCTACGGACCCGTCGCGAGGATTCGCGTGCTCACTTGATCCTCCTGTGTTGTGGGTGCCAGGATGCGTGCGGAAAATGCGAGCGTTAACCGGTGACGTGTCTGAGAAGGAGACACGATCGCTGAGACAAGAGCTTTATTCGCCTGACGTCTCGGATTCCTGCTCGGACCCATCATCAGTGACAAAAGCACCTTTATCTGCTCTTATCTCTGATGATGGGTCCGAGCAGGAATCCGAAATGTCAGGCGAATAATACTCTTGTCCAGTGATCAGGTTTCCTTATTCACGACTGCTTCCTTGGACTCCTCTCTCCGCTTCTATTGGCAGTTGCTTGAGATCCATCTTTAGAGTAAGGTACACACACTTCAGCCTGAGTGAGAAAGCCTGAGCCTGCTGCAACATCGGGTGGACATCTCAGATCATCTGAAAAAGACGAGTGAGGTGATTCGGGCGCTAGCTCTGTCGCCGCTCCATGAACTCGACAATGCGCGACTTCCTAAAGCAATTTGAAAGCCTGCTGCATGTCTGAAACACGAATCACAGAACAGTTCCTTTAAAAGGCAAAATGCTTGGGTGAACCCCTGATTTTTCCTATATGTCACCAGCCACTGCAACGTTTCCAGTAAACTCTTTGTAGTGAGCGCGCAGAGCCGCGGTTACACAGGAGTTAATGACCTGCTGGCGTGTGTCCGACTGACACCTTAAGGCTTGCGCCACTTCTGTCTGCATGCCCAAATCAGCAATGCGGACATACTTGATTATCGGCTGTGCAGAAGGGTTGATAATCTGCATCGCAGTGTTGTATTTGTTGCTATAAAACCGAAGAGGGAAAAGTGGATTAGGTGGTCCTTGAACAACCTTTAGTTCGCCGCTTAGTTTCGGTCGCCCGATGCGACACACTAATCTTATCAACCTTAACAACCTTATCGAGTTAAAACTGGCAGTTGGCCAAGATAACGCACTTCAGGTACTGACGCAGACATCTGCTGGTCTGGCACATAAACGACGGCTTTGTTGCTAGCCCGAGTAACTAAACATTATGAGGCTCAAATTTTCGTAACAGACCACATGATAGCTGATGGGTGTGTGGCGTCAAGATCAATAACGCCCTGGTCCTCGTTCGCGCAAGATTTTAGGTTGGCATGTGTCTCAACCGAGCCTAAACGGTCTACAGATTGACTTCAAGAAGTCGGAGGTTATGACAGCCCAACTTCAACGAGGTCCTGAAGATGAAAATCCGGTCTCGTTTGATAAATAAAACAGGGAGGGAAGCAACACATAGTCAAAAGATAAACCTGTAGTTCAAGGGGCAGCCGAATAACCGAAATTCATTTAGTAGTTTCGAAATTACTGGATCTGTTCAGCAACGCCAAAGTTGTCTGTACAAGCAGATCGGGCAAGACCGTGCCATTATGAGCCCCACCAAATTCGTAAATACGGAAAAGTCGGCAGACGAAGCGACTTCCATTAAGCAGGCTTTGAGAGTTGGCAACGTTGGAGACGCTGATACATGCGAAAAGGCGATTTCCAGAGTGCCATTGAGATTTGACCACTGCGACAAGAATGTTATTCGCCCGGCGTCCGGGAAAAGGGTTCGGATCTATCGTCAGATCAAACAAAGGACGTGGCTATGTGGTTGCTGAGTAATTGAGCCGTCTACTGGACGATCAACCCAAACCATATATTGAGTCAATGGTAGATTCTCTGCGAAAGCAAATCGGTTTGCGAGCTGCACGGTTGGGAACTTAACTATAAGCAACAGCTAGCGTGAGCACGTGGAATGCCGTCTCGCATATGATGGTTGACCAGTCGCTATCTCTCCTTCGCTGTCTCCCCTTCCCCAAATGTCGAGTGCCAAAACCTCGGGGTAAACTCATTGATGGAACATTTGAGTAAAAAGCAATCACCGAGAACGAAACTCTCCCAGCGAAAACGATGTGCAGGCTTGTGGTGTAATGGAAAATACTGAAATTTGTTCGTAAAAAGTAGGTTTAGCTGAGAACGACGTAGGAAATTGCTGAAGACGCGGTCAGGAACTTACTTCAGTGAATCCAGAAAGGGGAAAATCCTTACGTTGAGGGTGGCCTTGGAATCCATAATCAGTCAAAATCCGGCGCAGATCTGGGTGATCAGAGAAAAACACACCATACATATCCCATACTTCTCGCTCAAACCAATTGGCAGCTTGGTAGAGGCCGCAGATAGAACTTATTGGTGTGAGTTCGTCTGTGTATGTCCGGACGCGCGCTCTGGAGTTGTAACGCAAGGACAGCAGGTTATAAATAACCTGAAATGTTAGAGGCGACACTAGCATACCTCAAAACGGAAGGTTCGGGATGGCACGTCAATGGCCGTAATATCCACAAGTGACGCAAACTGTGCGTTTTGATGGTTTCGTAAGAAAGAAATAACAGGGATAATTCCGTCAGGATGAATAAGAATGTCCAGTTCCTTTACATGACCAATCTCGACCTTCTGGACATATTTCGGAAGGCACTCTGCGACATATAGCCCAAATTTTGATAACTTTTCTACTTTAGGGTCGGTAACGACAGCTTAAAATAAAATATAAATCGCACGTACAGTTTGCGGCAGTACCACTAAAGAACCGTGGAGACGAAACACTAACTTTGGATATAAAGCTCTGCTGCAAGATTCCTAAAAGAATGTATAGAAGTCATCCGGATACCAGCAGAGAGCGCTTTAGAAATTCTCAAAACTCGATTCATTTGCCGAAGGGAAGAGGACACACTAAAACGGATTGCCTGTGTCTGCAGCGAGGAAACCAAAGCTATGGAAATGGACGTACCCGGACCAACCGAGGTAAGATGTATATTCGTGCTCCGGCTATGACACCTCTACTTGTCACTATCCTTTCCATCCATACTGACTGAAACTTTAAGCCTGTCATCTTAATCTTTTGACTGGCACAAAGACCGTGTACGGATTCATCGTCAGGATCGCCGTCGTCGTGGACATCATTGTGTCTTCCCTCGTTCGTCCTCATCTTAGTTAAATTCTTTCGAGCCTACCACCCATTACGCTCAGTCACACTACACAGTAATCGTGAGAACGAAGTCCTATTGCCCACGTCGCCGCCGTAGGCTTATTTGGCATTGTTTTCACAATTCATTTCTGTATTTAAATGTTGACATTCTTTTTCTCTAAATCTGAACCTCAAGATTCTGACCCATTCGTTCCGAACGACTTGGTTTGGGGTGCTGTAAAATACGCTTGACATGAATCCAGAAAGTGAAATCAAATGGCGAGTAAGCTCCTTACCATAGCAGTGAGGGTCCCACGCTAACTTGATATGTCTATATGCCTCACTTCATGAGGCCTATGATGTTCTGATGATTAATGAAGACCGTAAAACACCTGTCTACGTCTGGTCTGCTGCATTCTTAGTGAGCTGCATACGTATTCAACCGCGGGATATCAAGCAAACCTAAGTACACACACTACTGGCACTGAAAACGAGAGGCATCTCCTGCGAAACTATGTAGTAGGATAGCAGTACGTTGTGGAAGTCAAACAGTGCATCAAATTGCAAAAAAGCGTAGAGAGGAATCCACATGATTTTTCAGAATATAGGGCATTTGTAAAGAGTTCCACGGTGAGTCATAAGAGTAGGGAACATGATAAAAATGATGTCAAACAGCAAATCTTATATCACGTAGCCATGCGTACCTTCAAACCTGGTGTTAGGCATGGATTGTAATGTCAATTAAAATGCTGGAAATCGTCACCATGGATTAAACTGTCATTTGTGGTATCAGTTTTCGCTACCCGCAATTGCCTGCGAGGTTTCCGATCGAACTCCAAGCAGTTAATAAATGATGCCTAAACAATACATACATA